CATATCATTACTTCATTAATTTTCAACTTGTATATCAGACATTCAGCTTGCAGCTGGGTTTTTATAGCGTGCAAGCAGTAGTCAAGTACACAACATTTGGGCAAATCCTAAGTACAGAAATGGTATTGCTAGACGCTTACTGCAGGCCAAGACAAACAGGTGCAGCTCAGGGAGTCAGTAGTATAGTCTAACTACAATAAATATCAAGCCCCTGTTTGATACATACTAAGCAATTTTATGAATTGATTCCTTTGATAAGTAACATATGAGAAATAAAAAATAATAGAGATGATATTTTAATTTAAATTTTAAAATAAAAACAGATGAAGAAAAATATTTGACCTGTATAGCATAATAATTATATTAAGTATATAGTGTTAAAATTCATTTACAGAATGGTTAAAAGGAAGTATATTTTGATGAAGTGCTTAGTGCCATTTGGCAAAGGAAAAATAGCATGAGCAACTTAAAAAAATATTCTTATTATTACAAAGAGGTCCAAATATTTTAAAACAAAGATCATTGTTCCTATTCCCAAAATTTTACCTCAGATCTAGTTTTCGAACTATTCTTTATTTTCACTAATACCCACTGTGGTGACGATGTCTTTACCCTTTAAATTTTTGGTAACTTTCTATGGAAATTTTGTTTTCAATATGTTGTCTTCTATCTTAGAAAATCTATTGGGATGTTTTCAGAATAATATCTCTTTTTGATCATTTTGTTCAAATCGACTCTCCCAACTCTTTTATGTAGTTATCTATTTTATATTCCTCTGTTTGTTTATCTTCACTCAAACTTTACAGGCTACTATTATCTTCCTTATTTGTTCAACCATCATCCTTCATTTGTTGGGTAAGTAACTCTTATAACACATTAACATGTACTTTGTAACGTGCATTTACATTTCGTCTTTCAAAATAATGACATGCACTCCATGAAAGTTTTTAAATGAGTATATACATATGTAAAATAGGTTCCAAATATTCGGAAAAGGAAAGCTACAAACACTTTATGGATTTGATGACATTTAATCCACCTTTTTAGGATGAAATTAACATTACCAGATGAAGGAAAAGGATTCAAAACTTACATAACTAGCAGCAAAACTATCATTTAGTGAAAGTTCATATGTTTTCCAATAATGTACACAGATTTTGATTATTTACTATATTAAAAATACAAATATATCATTGAAATCCAAGCAATTCATGGCTATTGGAAAAGAGAATATTATGTATCAAGTTTAATAGTTGTGATGGGATTTATCTCTGTATGCTGTGAATACCATTGGTTAATAAACTGTCTTAGGCCTGCACAGGGCAGAACTTAGAAAGGCAGGGCAAACTAAACTCAGTGCTGGGAGAGAGAAGGCAGAGTCAGTGAGATGTCATAAAGCCCCTCTGGAGACAGACACCAGAGCTTTACCTAGTAAGCCACAGCCACATGGCAATACACAAATTAATGGAGATGGGTTCATTTAAGATATGAGTTAGCCAGAAATACGCTGAAGCTATTAGCTAAATGATATTGCAAAAATATGGTTTTTATGTGATTAATTCAGAGCTGAGCAGCAAGGAACAAACAAGTGGCCACCTTCAACAAATTGCCCACCCCCCAGCATAAACTCTGGGCCTTTCAGGAAGTCAACCATTTAAATGGGGTTTGTGGGCAGCATATCGCAAATTACTTGGTGATAGCATGGGCCAACCGGTTATCAGAGTAGAGGTGGTGAACGTGGCTGCCACCCAGCAGTTGGAGAGGCAATGAATGGACTTCTGTCATGTTGCACTGGATAGAGTAAGCAGGCAAGGCGGTATTTGCCCCAGGAATGCTGTCACTTCAGTTTTAAGAAGGACTTAGCATTTTAAGAAGTCATCCTGATCAGAAAAGGGTTATAGATATGCAATTAGGACAGATTCAGACATAAAAGACCTCTAAATGAGACACAGTGTGTTTAAAAATGTACATAGGCTTGGAAGAGAGAAGAAAAGAGTAAAGAAACAGTAAATGTAATGTAAAAAGAGTATAGACAGTCATAGATAAAAGGAGTAAAGATAATAAAATATTAAACTCGTAAAAAAATAAAAGGGATAAAGAAAACCAACTGTGTAAGATGAAATATACACAGAGAGTCTGGATTATGTATGTTATTGTTGTTTCTTTGAAATTTTTGAATGTGAAGGTGCTAAGTAACCAGCATATATACTTTAAAGGTATCTTGTCTTTAAAATTTGGGTCTAAGGATATGTTGCTTTGGAAAAAGGTTCTTCTTTTGTTTCCACAGAGGAAGAGAACTTGTGGAATCCTTCCAGATTAATGTAATCTGATGGACCAACACCCCCTGAAAGGTCTCCATGAACACACCAAAAATTACTTCACCCAACAAAAAGCAGGAAGCAGATTGGAGAGAACTATGCCCAAATTCCATAGATGATTGTTTATAAATATGTTTACATTTAGAGAGGGATATGCTGTGGAGATTCGCTTTGGTATGGATTTTGCTTTATTGATATAAATTTAAGGACAATTTTGTTATATGTATATTACTGCTGTTGATTAAGATATTGTATTTGAGCATCTCATTTAAAAATGTACCGTATAATTAAGAAATACAGGTAAATAGAGAAACATGTATAATAGTCAAGCTTGTAGTCATGTTATTTAGATTTTCTAGATATACAGAGGAATATTTCAGATGGATAGTTATTCTTCAAATCTTTCAAGGATGATAGAATTTGGCATTTAAAATGTTTCTAGAAATTAGGACTTTTCAGGACAATGAGACACATCTGGTCCTGGCAGCATCAGTCTACTTCAAGAGGATGATGAACATTGAAGAGACACCTTACAGAATTGATTAGCCGTTTGGGCAAGAAACTGCTCTTAACTGGACTGTTTGATGTTATGCTGTATAAAGTGGACAAGTAGGACCCACAGAGAAATGACTGCTGAACTCACCTAAAGGAGAGACAATCTTTTGGGATTTCTGCTTCATGAAAGAGTCTGCCAAATATTCTACAGAATGCTGAAAAATGTGACTGACAAACTTTTAATATAAGTGGAAATGTCTTTGAAATTTCCTGCTTTGCAGAAAAGTCTTTTGGATAGTATGGACCTGTAGGCTGAAGATGGATGCCCCGAAGATACAGAGGAATTTTGTTTGACTGTCTAGGCAGTGAGATGTCTCTGTCATTTCTAGAGTTTTGGAAGTTGCTTACATGGCAATTCCTGTTTACTTAGGTAATATTATATCCTTCTGGATTCTTTAATGGAGTTGAAGAATAGATAGTTATAGTTTTTCTTAGTTATGATAAAAGATGAAAAAATATATTAACTGTAATTCTTGCGTGTATGTAATTTTGCTGCGTTAATGTTAAAACCTTCTTTTATATTTAAATAAAATAGGGAGGTAATGTAGGATGGCCCTCTGCGAATATCATTGGTTAATAAACTGTCTTAGGCCTGCGCAGAGCAGAACTAGGATAGGTGGGGAAACTAAACTCTATGCCAGGAGAAAGAAGGTAGTGTCAGTGAGAAGCCATGAAGTCCCTCTGGAGACAGAAGCCAGAACTTTATCCTGCAAGCCACAGCCATGTGGCAATACACAAATTAATGGAGAATAGTATTGCAAATAGTATGCTTTCTATGTGATTATTTTACAGCTGAGCATCCGGGAGCAAACAAGTGTCCTTCTACAACGTAGTTGTGTTTATTATTTAAGGTCTTTAAAAAATAAACTTCTTAAGCCGGGCGATGGTGGCGCATGCCTTTAATCCCAGCACTTGGGAGGCAGAGGCAGGCGGATCTCTGTGAGTTCGAGACCAGCCTGGTCTACAGAGCGAGTTCCAGGACAGGCTCCAAAGCCACAGAGAAACCCTGTCTCGAAAAACCAAAAAAAAAAAAAAAAAATAAATAAACTTCTTTTCCTGTGCTTTTTTTTTTCTGCCAGGATTAAATTGTCATTCTCAGGGTGATATGATGTACTGAAGCAATTTCCTTGGTGATGATTACCCCCTGTGACATTATTCTTTATGGGAAGTTAAAAACTCTTTAATGAGTGTTGCTTTTGTTCTCTTTTCTATTTTATTGTCTTCATATAGATTGGGTGGAAAATGTCATTAGGTTTTCTTCCCAAACTTAATTATTAGCAGGGAGTATAAATCAGGTTAAATAATCAACGTAACTTTTACTTGGAATGCCTAATATCTATCCTAATGAATTATAATGGTTTAGGAGAGTATTAGTATTGCTTTTAGCTCTATGAAACTTGACCTTTCTAGGGAAAAGTAACTGGCTAGATTTTTAGTGCATGCATAATTAACCTCTTGTTTAACAGGCATAATGTCAAGTTAGACGGTGGTTCTGGCTTGTTACTCCCAAAATGGGATTGTCACAAGTGCTTGTTTAGATATATCTTGACTTGTTTGTCTCTGTTGTGGTTCATAGTTGTCCCAGCAGGATAGCACTATGAACATGAACTACAGTAACCTGGCGAAGAGGGAATCCCAGTGAAGAATTGCCTAGATTAGTTTGGGCTGTGGGTGTATTTTGGGACATTGCATTGTTTTAACATGGGAGGGCACAGCTGACTCTGCATAGCAGTGCCATAAGCAGGCACACCTGAGCTGGTTAAGAAAATCATCTGAGCATGGGCCAGAAAGCAAGCCAGGAAGGTGCCAAGGATAAGTTTTCCCCTGTGTTCTAGGTCCCTGCAATGAGATCTTTATCTGACTTCCCTCAGTGGTGGCTTATCAAAATTTAAGACAAATCATTTTCTCCCTAAGTTGTTTTCAGTCAGTATTATGTGACAGCATGAGCATGCCACTATAACATACTGATTATTTCAAAAGGCATATAGGGTGTATGTGCATTGAAGCACATATCTTAAGTGGGTGCAGCTTTATAAAAACTGACATGTTAAGAAGGCTAATAGAATGAAAAAATATATTTTATTTTGTTTGAGTTAGATAAAATTCAGGTGATTTATCTCTAAGGAGATGGATAGGTAAGTAGATGAATAGATAGATAAATAGATAGATAGATATTTCTTATTTTAGGTGATTAAAAAATAAGATATAGTTTAAGTATTACAATGTCAATTTTCCTTAAAATATCCTGATATAAGTCATTCTTTTAAAAAAGTGCACACATAGGAGAGTAATGTACTTTTTTGAGTCTGTAGAATACATGGATATGTGTACTATAAAGACAATGAGAACCTGAAAAAAAAAAAAACACTTTTGAGAAGGAATAGGTTGTTAGCAGAAGTTAAGATAACATGACTGACCATTTTCATCTCTGATGATGATCACTAAAGTTCTACTAATGTTAGACGGAACAAATAAATGAGTCATGAAATATGCATTAAACCTTGAAAAATGAGCCAGAGAGCAGCACAAGAGGCCAGGTAACATTCCCCACTGCTTCCAACCACAGGGAACAATATATGTCTTTTAAGAAGCTCCTTGGGCAGCTGAGGATAGGGAACCTGAAATGACCCTATCCTATAGCCATACTGATGAATATCTTGCATATCACCATAGAACCTTCATCTGGCGATGGATGGAGATAGAGACAGAGACCCACACTGGAGCATCGGACTGAGCTCCCAAGGTCCCAATGAAGAGCAGAAGGAGAGAGAACATGAGCAAGGAAGTCGGGACCACGAGGGGTGCACCCACCCACTGAGACAGTGGGGCTGATCTATTGGGAGCTCACCAAGGCCAGCTGGACTGTGACTGAAAAAGCATGGGATAAATCCGGACTCTCTGAACATGGCGAACAATGAGGGCTGATGAGAAGCCAAGGACAATGGCACGGGGTTTTGATCCTACTTCATGTTCTGGCTTTGTGGGAGCCTAGCCAGTTTGGATGTTCACCTTCCTAGACATGGACGGAGGTGGGGAAGACCTTGGACTTTCCACAGGGCAGGGAACCCTGACTGCTCTTTGGACTGGAGAGGGAGAGGGAGAGGAGTGGGGGGAGGGGAGGAAGGGTGGGAGGAGGGGGAGGGAAATGGGAGGCTGGGAGGAGGCGGGAATTTTTTTTTTCTTTCAATAAAAAAAAACAATGGTTTTGAAATTTAAAAAAAAAAGAAATGTGTTTTAAATTTAGAAATTTCTACCACAATTGAGCAATTAGATGATCCCATAGTGAGACCCTCTTTACCCTGCATGCCTGGTTATAATTACCCCTAATTCCCTTAACTTCTTGTTTAGTTACATATGTAAAAATCAATGTCAGTTCCTTAACTGGTTATATTGTACAGAAATGTCATAAATAGTCTTTGTTAGAAAAAGTCAAAGAATAATTGCAAGGTCTGTATTTGTAAACATACTAAGAGCAAAGTATTTCAAATACATTGGGTAAAATTGAACTGATTTAAGGCTCTTGACTGTAACATAAGATGAATGATTTGGGAGTAGCTACTGAAAATGTTGTATGCATAATTTTTAGGAGAAAGACAAACAATAACATGTTTTTATTGTAATAAATCTGGAATCAATATTCATGTTTTCTTCACTTATTGATTTTTGTTTATGATGCCACAGAATAAAAGATTTGGTGCTTAAAAGAATGACCATTACAATACATTTTAATTCCCTAACAGGCTTAATAAAGTAGGAACAGATGGTAAACAAAAATCTTAATTAGAAAACTGGCATTATGAGAAATAAGTGAATAAAAATTGTGTTAAATACACTTAGAAATTAAAGTGAACATATCCCTTTTGAAATTTCAGTATAAAAGGATGCCTTTAAAATTTCTGCCTTTGCTTGAACTTTAATGGATAATTATTTTTAGAGAGAGAAGTTGGCAACTAAGAAATAAGATAAGTACAGTGTCCTAAAGATAGGGATTTAACGATAATATCCCCAACTCATTAAATTGAATTCTACTTTAAAATAATTCCTGTTGCCTAAAGGTAATAACGAAATTATTTCTTCTCACTGCCATTTATCTGACAAGATTGCAGATATCATTATGGAATTGTTTCACTGGTAAGAAACTTTTGAACACAAGAGCAAAAATTGGAACCTTCTTCCATGTCTTCAGACTTCTGCAAGTCAGACTGGCACTCTTGCCTGGTTTTGCAGACTCACCATGCTCAGCTCGAAGTGATGATGATGTATTACACAGAAAAACACAGCCTGGAGGGTGAGACACATCCTTGTATCTTATAGCACCAGGCAGATGGGCCCTATAGGAGTGATCAGAAATGACAAAGGAGCTAACTCCTTGACCAGCTGCAGCACATGGAAAAGTGAGCCCTGCCCTTTCATTTGGGCAGTACAGCAACGCTGAGCCTGTTGACAAATGTCCAGATGTGCCAACCCTGTGATCATGAGTGTGAGAAACCTAACTCCACTCCTCATCTGCTATGTGATAGCATTATCTAGGGAGAGATGCCCTTACCCAGCACCCACCTAACAACGGCTAAATCAGGTGGCTCTCTACCTTTTGCCTGTGAGCTTTTACTTTTTTCTTCTGTATATCTTATTTTCACTCGTACTCAATGGGAGGCTGTGTTATGTGGAATTCTCCTCTGTATGCTGTTAATGCCAATGAATAATAAAGAAACTGTCTTGAGCCCGTGATAGGGTAGAATAGAGCTAGTTGGGGAGAACTAAACTGAATGCAGGGAGAAAGAAGGCAGATTCAGAGAGAAGCCATGGGGCCGGAGCCAGAGACAGACACGATGAAACCTTACCAGTAAGCTACGGGCCTCGTGGTAAAATATAAAATAATGCAGATGGGTTAATTCTAGATGTTAGAGCGAGCTAGCAATACACTTAAGTATTTGGCCAAGCAGTGATTTAATTAATATAGTTTATGTGTAGTTATTTCAGGAGTCTGGGCAGTCAGGAAACGAACAGAGTGTGACCGGGAACACGCTAATAGCCTCTTACTAAGGCTGTGTTTCTGGATGGTTGGCCCCTTGCATTCATCTTTCCTTATTTTTGTTTCTTGATCTAAGATACCATATGGCATATGGCATCATGGTCATAAGAGAGATGGCTTCCCCGCGACTCCCTGAACATCAATATCTGGGACAGGTGGAAGAGCTGGGAAAGCTGTGGCCCTGACCCTCACCAGCTGCAGCACTTGGGACAGTGACCTGGTACTTTGCAGGGGTAACATAAAAGAGCTGGCCCTGATGTAACTGTGGTAGAGAAGACTCTGAGATCATAAAAGCAGGAGAACTGGCTCCATCCTTCCTTCATTCCAGTAAGAGGTGAATTAGCCAGAGCTTCCCCTGGTGGTGAAGACAAGGGAGAACTGTTGTAGGCTGTGGGAATTGCAGCAGGTAACAACTTCTATTCAGATGTCAACCCATAAGAGAAATCATCCTCTGATGGAGGACAATTCCGACCAGGAAAAGCTTATGGAACCATCAACTCTGAAAACTGTTGCTCCTCTTTGTAATTTCAAAATTATAGAGATGTAATTCTGTAATTCTGCACATGTAAATGTGTAAAAGCAGCTATAGTGACTGCAGAATACCTGCACTATAGTTTGTAATTTCATGTGATTTATATATGTATTCTCATGTTTGCATCTCAATCATGTGGGCACATTTATCAGAGGTGGTCTTGAAGATAACTGCATTAAGTTGTATAATTTTGATATATACAAAAATACTAGGATGTGATTCATAACTAAATCTATTGTCCCGTGAGGACTATAAGACACTTAAAAGCTTGCTCTATTCCTCTTCCTTAAACTAATACAAGAAAACAATTTCTCATCAGTATAAAACAGGCTACACACAACTCATTTTTACTGAAGAGCAAGTTCAAACTAGACTGAATGTGTCAGATAATGAATCATAAGTTAAAAACCTTACAGATATTGTAAGGTCAGAGTTGCCGATATCTAACCAAGGTTATTAATACAAAGCAACCAAAAAAATGCAAATTCTTCACTTGCCAATTTGGTTGATAAAACCTGTGTCTCACAGCTTGTCTTGCTGGATACTCTGCCCCTGGCCTCTGGTCACAGTTTTACACTTGAAACCTTGTGTTGCCATGGTAAATTTCTCTATCCTTATCATTTACCCGAGGAATGTGCTATGACCAATGAGGTGGAACTCTTGTAAATGTTTTTTCTTATTGTCTCAAGCTTCCTCTAAAAAGTATATTTAAGCTAGGTGAACAAAGAAGAAAAGGAGAATTTCAACTAAGAGAACTGGAATTAAGACCTTAAACAGAAGTGAACAAGAAAAACTAAAACTTAGAAGAAAATTGAAGACAGAATGTAAACAGAAAAACGATGGAACATGAAAAGAAAAGCACGTGTCTGAATTTATTCTGTACCCCTCAGATAGAAAAACCTTAAGTTCAGTTTTACTATGCTGCAGAGTTTTTCTTCAACCCTAGAGGTAGCCTTGAGAGCAGGTCTTTCAGGGATACTAATAGAGAACTGGCAGGCAGACAGCTCTGAAGCAGCCCAGGTCCAGAATCAAGGTTATGATTTCACCTGGCCCAAAATCTACCCCATCTGTGATGTGCTCGCATCCATGAAAGGGCCTGACTGCAGATTCAAAGTTGCAGGACATCCATAACACTGGGCAACAGGATTGCCAAGAAGAGTCCCAGTGAGGGTCCAGCATCGATAGAGTAATAGTAACAAGAGGCTTCACACCAGACCAATGGCTCTCTGCAATGAACACTTGAAAGTAAAAATACGTGAAAAGGGAGCTTATGATGTTACTCACTGTGTCACAGTGCAACTTTCATGATGAGATTTTACTTAATTTCCCTCTTCTCTTTCTCTTCAATTTTGCTTTATTTTACGTGGTGGATGGTGTGCAGGACTGGAAGGCAGATGCTAAGAGACAAGATTTAAAAGGCACATAGAATAAGTAAAAGCAGAAAAAGCAAATAAAAATGGCTTACTTGTACTATTTTAGTGTTCATTTTCAATTTTTTTCTGTACATCTGTGCTGATCCTCTGTGTATGTGTGTTTGCATGTTTGGGAAACGTGTGTACGTATGTGTAAGT